CACCTGGCCGTTCTCTGACTCCAGGGAATCTACGACCACCGGCAAAATAGAACCCAAACTACCATCTTTCATTCCTGCAGGATCAAGCTCGCTTCTTGGAGCCACTAATAACACTGCCTCAGCAGTGGGGGACTTAACCAAAACATGACCATCCAAGGCTGACGCACCTGCTTCTTGATGCTCCCTGGGAACCGCATGCCAGCAATCCACCTCATCTACCTCCTCCTCATACACTGATCCCAACTGAGTTAAAGGCACATCACTAGGACCCACCTCCAGGGTCACTTCCTGACTTCGTCCCTTTAACAGGGAACGATGGACATGTTTAACCTGATCGGGTTCTCCCAGTGGTACAATGGAGTACACAGCCCCGTTGTCCTCCGGTGCCTTTACTACGTAATAAGCTACCAGACTCCCCAAATCCTGAATTTTATGGCGCCCTCGTCTACCACATTCCTTCAAATACACCAACTGACCAACCGCCAATGGGACATCCCAAACATTCTGATCATGGTTCGTCTTTCGACGATCTGCCGCACACTTTAACAGTGCACGGGCCCCCTCAAAAGCGACCTGTAGCCTGGCTTGATGTTCTACAACCCATTCGTGCATGTCACCCGGAGCGATGTCCTGAACGCCTCCAAGCAGAAAGTCCACCGGAAGACGCGGCTCCTGCCCAAACATAAGAAAATATGGGGATTCCCCGGTGGCCTGATGGGGAGTGGTGTTATAGTGAAATAACACTTGAGGAAGACAAGACGACCAATCCCTCTTCCTTGAGGGGGGGAGGGTATGCAGCAGATTATGTAACGTACGATTAAATCTCTCGCACTGGCCATTACCCGCCGGATGGTAAGGCATAGTGCGAGACTTCTGAATGTTGTACAAGCTACATAAATGCTGCACCAAGATGGACTCGAAGTTGCGCCCCTGGTAGGAATGAATTCGACCAGGGACTCCCAACTTGTAAAACCATTCCCCCACTAGTACCCCAGCGACGGTTTCAGCACGCTTGAAGTCTGGACGGTGGCGACAGCAGATTGAACCTCCGCCACATCTGGGGGCAAGCTGACTACGAGCACCTGATCCAATGTTCCCAAAAGACTGCGGGGATAAAGCATGACATCAGATATCCCAACGTTCACAATAGGCACATATACAGTGCCCCGAATTACCTGAATTAACGCAGGAGACGCCAATAATCCTGCAGGCAACCCTTGCTCGAGTGGCTCGAAAAATACTGGAGAGTCAGTATAATGTTCAGAGCATGTTGCAGGAACAAATTTCACTGTGCCACCGGGTATACAACAAGCCCGGTGACCACGCACTCTGACCTTACCGGCACGAACCTCTACCAGTTCAGTATTAACACGACAGCAATACTGAAGCGCCTGGACCATAACACTCGGGGCCTGGGTAACAAAAGGCACACTAAACAATGCAGGGCCATGCTGGCCAAAGAGCTCCTGGTAACAACGCCGCAAGATATTCATCCCCAATACCCCGGGAACTTTGTCACCCATGCCACCAGGAGGATCTCTGACCACCAGAACTCCACACTTAGGCACCAAACTCCCGCAAAGCTCAATGTCTAACTCTACATAGCCAATATATGGAATCTCAAGCCCATTTGCCGCACGCAGCTGTAACCAATGGCACATTTTAAGTTCGTCTTGCCCTCCTGGTGCAAAACTTCTACGGAAACAGCTCTCTGTAATGGTGGACACCATTGACCCAGTGTCCACCAAACAGGGAACTGAAACCCCACCAAGGAGGGCAACAAGATGTGGACAGGACGAAATCAAACGAGGCATATTTTCGACATGATTTAAAACAGAGCCCATCAACACCCCAACCGGACTGTGGCTCCGCAGCCCGGTGGGACCTAGTTTTCCGACTGCTGTGCTGGGCGGGACTGTCTCCCCCCAGATACGGGTACTACTGTGGAAGGGGGCCAAGGGCGAGGAGAAACTCTGTCACCATCGCATTCTCTAGCGAAGTGACCAGCACGTTGACTACATATTACAGGACCCCTGCAAGGGGAGGGCTTTTGCAAGGACGAACCCTGTAATTGGGCAAGCCCTTGAGTAAGCTGGCCCAACTGTTCCTGTTGGCGTTTTAACATCTCTTAACTCGTCAAATTCCGATCTGGCCACCAAGCCACTACCCTCTAACCCAGAACGCCCTTGCATTCCATATTGGACACCATACGCTAACGGAACGGACTGACTCAGAGCTCTCGCACCCCCCAACATACCTTCCCTTTCCCACCTTATAGCTTCACTACGCACATGCAAAAAATTACAGGACGGCTCACGACGAACCAATTGTTTAAGCTCACGGCGCAACGCCGGATCTAAAACAAATTCAACAAACTGGTCACGTAGCAACACCCCTGCATTTGGCATCGCGGCTGGCGACTGTTGCTTCACCTTCTCCTGGAGGCCCATTAAGGCGAGGGAAAACTCCAACAAGGTCTCCCCCTCCTGTTGCCTATGGGAGAAGAAAGCTTCTTGTAATGCTACATATGACAAGGAACAACCATAAAGGTCGCGAAGTGCCGCAATAATTTTATCAGGGTCTCCCCTATCTGCATCAGGACGATGCCTAATTTCTTCCCGAGCCTCCCCCTCTAAGTGATCAAAGAGAAAAAAAGCTTTATCGGCCATGGACAGACAACGGACCCGTATGCAGGCCTGTGCTTCCTCGACCCACTCATTAATGCCTACTCCTGATTTACCACTAAACTTTGGGCACTTCCGGTCCCTAGGGACAAAAACAAACCTATCAACTGCTGCAGCGCCAGCCCCTGCCTCTGAAGGCCCAGTCGGTGCTGCATCTGCGAACTGTTAGTAGGCTACTGATTTTATGATTGATCATGCTACATGCTATGGCATTCGAGTCCACATGTGTCCAACTAAAAGTGACAGCCTGGTGAATAATCTGCATTACAAAAAGGGAAAAAAATCTTTAAAGGTTATTCACGATTACATATTGCTGCCAAGGTATATAATCTTTACAGTGCTTTGCTATATGGAACTGTTAGGTTGATCGCGAGCTATCTAATTCGTTTGTCTACACCGTAATTAAAATGTGGCAGACTTTAATGGACAGTAAAAAAGGCAGAACACCATATAACTCCAAGTCAGCACCGTAACTTCATTTTGACGCGCAGTTAAACAAAAGCAGAATGCTGTAACTCAATTTGAGCATTCCAAACAAAAGCAAAGAGCGGTAACTTGTGTTATACAGTGTTCTGCCTTGGTTTCTCCGGGGCTTTTCGAAGTTACGGTTGAGACGACCCATTATTTTCTCAGAAAAACAACTAAATTGACTCAAGATACTTATGCACATGGTATGTCTTGAATGTCCCAAAAATACAAATAACTCATTTTCGACCAAAATCGAAGTTACGGTCTTTTGCCTTTGCACGGCAGTAATATGGTCATACTTCTTGGTTCTAGTAAGAACTCTAGCTGCTGCATTTTGAACCAGCTGGAATTTGTTTATTAAGTGCGCAGAGCAACCACCCAATAGAGCATTACAATAATCTAACCTTGAGGTCATGAACACATGAATTAACATTTCTGCATTTGCCATTGAGAGCATAGGTCGTAATTTAGATATATTTTTTAGATGGAAAGATGCAGTTTTACAAATGCTAGAAATGTGGCTTTCGAAGAAAAGATTGCTATCAAATAGCACACCTAGTTTCCTAACTGATGACGAAGAATTGACAGAGCAGCCATCAAGTGTTAGACAGTGTTCTAGGTTATTACATGCAGAGGTTTTTGGTCCTATAATTAACACCTCTGGGGGGTTTTTTTGGGTTTTTTTTAGAATTTAACAGTAAGAAATTACTAGTCACCCAGTTTTTTATCAACTATGCCTTCCGTTAGTTTTGCAAATTGGTATGTTTCGTTGGGCCTCAAATAAATATAGAGCTGAGGATCATCAGCATAACAGTGAAAGCTAACACCATGTTTCCTGATGATATCTCTCAAGGGTAACATGTAAAGCGTGAAAAGTAATGGTCCTAGTACTGAGCTTTGAGGTACTCCATACTGTACTTGTGATTGGTATGATACCTCTTCATTCACTGCCACGAATGGCAGTCAGATAAGTATGATTTAACCCATGCCAATGAACTTCCTCTAATGCTAAAATAATTTTCTAGTCTATTCAAAAGAATGTTGTGGTCGATTGTGTCAAACGTGGCACTAAGATCCAGAAGCACTAATAGAGAGATACAACCACAATCGGATGATAAGAGCAGGCCATTTGTAACTCTGATGAGAGCAGTCTCAGTACTTTGATACAGTCTAAATAAATCCTGACTGGAAATCCTCACAGATATAATTTTTCTCTAAGAAGGAACATAGTTCTGATGATACTACCTTTTCTAATACTGTATCTTTGACAGAAAAGGGAGATTCGAGATCAGTCTGTAATTAATTTATTATTTGGGGTAAAGTTGTGTATTTTAATGAGAGGCTTAATAATAGCCAGTTTGAAGGTTTTTGGGACATATCCTAATGACAATGGTGAATTAATAATATTCAGAAGAGGATCTATGACTTCTGGAATCACCTCTTTTAGTAGCTTAGATGAAACAGGGTCTAACATACGTGTTGTTGGTTTAGATGATTTAACAAGTTTATGCAATTCTTCCTTTCCTATAGAAGAGAATGAGTGATCTGATGATGGCTGCATGGTTACAATTTTCTCTCTAATAGTATCGATCTTAGAATTAAAGTAGTTCATAAAGTCATTGCTACTGTGCTGTTGGGAAATGTCAGCACCTGCTGATGTTATTATTTTTTTTTTTTTTGTTAATTTAGCCACTGTATTGAATAAATACTTGGGGTTGTGTTTGTTTTCTTCTAAAAGAGACGAAAAGTTATCAGATCAAGCAGTTTTTAAGGCTTTTCTGCAAGAGAAAGTACTTTCCCGCCATGCAATACAAAATACCTCTAGTTTTGTTTTCCTCCAGCTGCGCTCCATTTTCCGGCCTGCTCTCTTTAGAGTACGAGTGTGCTCATTATACCACGGTGTCAACTGTTTTCCTTAATCTTCCTTAAGCATAAAGGAGCAACCATATCTAAAGTGCTAGGAAAGAAAGATTACATAGTTTCTGTTACATCAAATTGTTCTGAGCTATTGGATATGCTGAGGAATTGAGATTAATCAGGAAGATTATTTACAAAGCAGTCTTTTGTGGTAGAAGTGATGGTTCTACTATATTTGTAACAAGGAGTTTAATTTGCAGCTTTAGCTATATGGAGTATACCCGAGACTAGATAATGATCTGAGATGAGATATCATTGCTCTGCTGCAGAATTTAAATGCCATTAACATCAATTCCATGTGACAGTATTAAATCTAGAGTATGATTTCGACAATGAGTAGGTCCTGGACATGTGTTGTCTAACCCCAATAGAGTTCAGAATGTCTGTAAATGCTGATCCCAATGCATCTTTTTCATTATCAAATGAAAATTCATTAGCAAATTCTTTGATAAATTCTGTATGGTGCCCTGATGGCCTGTATACAGTAGCCAGTACAAACGTCACAAGGGATTTATCATTAACACTTGTTTCTCTGGATAACATTATATGAAGCACCATTACTTCAAACAAATTATACTTAAAACCTAACCTCTGAGAAATACTGAAGATATTGCTATAAACTGTTGCAACACCTCCACCTTTACCATTTAGACGCGGCTCATGTTTATAACAGTAATCTTGGGGGGTAAACTCATTTAAAGTAATGTAATCATCTGGTTTTGGCCAGTTTTCTGTCAAATATAGCATATCTAGTTTATGGTTAGTGATCATATCATTTACAATAAGCGCTTTTGTAGAAAGGGATTTAATATTCAATAAGCCAAGCTTTATCATTTGTTTATCTGTATTACATCTGTTATTCTGCGGGCACCACTTAGACATCCAGCCATTGAGTGACGACAGTCTGCTATGTATCTCGTCACCACGGTAAGCAGGAAGGGGACCAGAGCATATTACAGTGTCTGACATCATACATACAAGTTCACACACCTCTTTAATGCCATGTTTTGTCCCACGACTATGCCGCCTCACCATCATTCAGTTGCCCTGCTGCATGGGCTCTACAACCGAAACCGAACAACGTACATGATTCGCTAAGCTAGTCGCATCCAAAGCCATACCTAGGGCCCTCACATTCTTACTGTCCTCAATTAAAGTTTGGATGCGTGTCTCTAGTTCTGAGATCTTCTCTGTCAGCCTAACTATTTCCCTGCATTTATCACATGTGAATCCCTCGCTGCTGACAGAGACAGATACGCTAGACATGTGGCAAGCGGTGCAGGTGACAATGCAAGGAGAAGCCATTACTCACTGTCATTGTAGAATAACTCTGACTCACCACAGTTGTTTGATGGACTCGTAAAAAAGGAGCGAGAGAAAAAAAGAAACAGAGAGAAAAAGAAGTGGTAGGAAACACAAATGGAGATGCGATTGACAAGCTAACAGGCTATCGCAATGCTAACACGCAGCATTAGCGGTTTAGATCAAAAGATTAAAGGTGAAAGATGTCAAATTAGTTTGGTAGATAAAATCAGAAATATGGTGAGAATTAAATTATTCTTTAGCGGTTTAAACAACAGTACGATAGTAAGACAGAGATTCCAACAGAAAAACAAAGCTACACGGAGCTACATGCACTGTGCTAATCATGCACTGTGAAAATATGTGAGTGTGAAAGGAAGCATAGCCTAAAAGTAACTGGTAGAGGAGTCGGTGGCACACAGGTAGTAAGATGTAGATTAAATGTAATAAAGATCCTGGTGAAAAGCTGCTGGCTTGAGCCAGGAGCTAGTTGCTTAGGACCAGCACATGACCAGCTAAGAACCAGCTCATGACCAGCTAAGGACCAGCTTAAACCAGCTCATGAACAGCTAAGGACCACCTTAAACCAGCAGCCATACTTCAAAACATACCTAACCAGCATATGCTGTTTTTTTAACAAGGGAAATTATCATAGATTTGTAAAGGTTTTACCAAAATGTTGTCTGCGATACAATTGCATGTGTAAATCAAGCTGGTTGCCTGATTTGTGAGTGCTTGTGGTGGTAAGCCATTTGAGATCGAATGAAGCCAAGAGTGAGTGGAAGTTAGCAGGGGTTGGAAATGTTAGCAATATTGCACTGCTGTCTGTGCTTGATATTAGAGCATTGTTGAGAGAAAACAGGAATGTATTGGAAACACATGTTAGATGTGGGAACCAGAAAGTGTGCCAAAAGGAAAATAAAAGATACTTAAGTGCCTTGTCGGTGTCCTTGCTCAGTGGAGTCACACAGGTAGAGTCGCAAGGCTTCCATGCAGCTTATCAACTGAGTTTCCATAAGGCTGCCCCACTTTTAAAGAGCAGCCTCAACTAGTGACAAACATAATCTCATAGATGTAGCCACTGTAATATTTTCCAGAAACCTGAATGATGGATTCATTGTCACGAAGTGACATCCCCAGTGGATTGCCATTGCTTGTACAAACCGGTGTTGTCCAGTTACCATCATAACGCAACTGGATTCTGAACAGATATTTGATGAAAGTGTTTGAAAAGATGGTCACAGAATAACATGCAGATTATGTATTTAATGGAGAAGCAAAATGTCAGGTATTAAGACTAATATGCATAGTGTAATTTTAATTTGTTCCAGAATTTCTAGCAATTTAAATTTTCCAATAGCCATTTATTTACATGGTTTTGCATGTTTGATGTACCACAGTGAAAAATTTTTGGAAAATCTTGCGGGTGCTGAACAATATTCACGCATGGTCATGCCCACTGCACAAACTCCAGAGGGATCCAGAATAAGATGAAAAGGGGGGGGGGGATTGCTGTCCAGCACACACCAGTAATCTAAAAGGGAAAAAAAATAGATGAGGTATTCACTCATGAAACAGTACTTTTCACTTTAGGAAGCAGTTTACAACATCTACCTGCATTACATATTGACAGAAAATGTTTTATTGTGATCTGTGTTTTCATATGTACCTAAGAACATGAAGATGATAAAAGACAATTACAGGAATTTTGGCAATATAAAGTAATTACCTGTTGTTACACTTGAGTCTGGTTTGCTGACTAAACCTACTTGAATTTATATGCTCTTGCTAGTCAAGCCTCTTCATTAGGACAAAGCATTGTCATGTTTCCGTCTCCACCTCAGATGGAATGTTTTGGAACACATAATAAGTTTTGGTCCAAATGCAAAGAATGCTTAGAAGGATATATACAATTACATAGGTTAAGTTTAACACTTGTTTTGCAAAAAGTTTTTTTTATTTTAACTTTAAAATTAAATTAAAACAAATAAATATAGGCAAGATACCAAATAAAAACAATAGAAATAAGGGTTGTACATGGTTAAACAACACAATTAGTTTTATTACATTTTTTTAGAACAATGTAAGCACATTTTTGTATTGTGTTTGTAATACTGAAATTCTGCTAAGTTGATCAGGTCCTTTATTGAGAACACCATCAATGAATTTGGTGTTCATGATTTAAAAAAATAAATAAAAGGGTTTTGTCCATCTTCTTAAGATAACATAAAAGGGTTTTGTCCATCTTCTTAAGATTACCTCTTTTTTTTTTTTTTTTTCTATTTTACTTTCT